AAAAATATGAGGTCGAGTTTCATATACCTTAGAATAATTTTAAAACAAATTTTAATAACTTTACTCATATAAATTTTTTTAATGTATGCACAATGTATGTGTATATTGTAATTACATATATTTAAATGTACGCACGTATTTGTACATTACTTGTAATTATGTACATGTATACGTTGTATGCACATGCATACATTGTGCATATAACTATTTTTTTGTACATCCATGCATTACATGCGCATAAGTATTAACAAAGTATGTAGTTATACAAGTACATACGTAAGTTGTACATAAGTACATACTTTGCGTGCACATATATCGATGTACATATAAATATGCATGTATACATGTACGCATTTTATTTACGCAACTATGTGCATATATTGTACCTTTAAATAACATTTTTACATATTGTACGCAAATACGTACAATTTTATATACAAACGTACATTGTATATACGTGCTATTATCGTAAATTTATACAATATATGCACTTAAGTACATAAAAGCATGCAAACGCATAAACATTATTTTCATATACGTTCATACATACATTGTCTATGTATACAAAGATACAAAACATTGCCTTTTTGTACAAACTAACATACATGCGTACATGTATCATAAATGCATAATTATATGTACTAAGCATATGCGCATTGCATTAAGTATATTACAATATAATTATGAATATTGTACGTACAAACAACGTTTGTGCATACATTGTATGTATAGGAATCGCAAATTGTACGTTCATGCGTGCGTACATTCTATGTACATAAAAATATGTAAACACATGAATACTTACATAAAAAATTTGACTATAGTATACAATCGTAATAACTTGTAATCGTATAGTTTGATTACAAGTAATCACAATTACATGTAATCAAATTACATGTAATCATGATTACATGTAATCATATATTTTGATTACTTGTAATCATAATTACTTGTAATCGTTTTTGTTGTGATTACTTGTAATCGCAATTACTTGTAATCATGATTACAAGTAATTGATTACTGTAATCAAAATTGTAATCATGATTACAGCTGTAATCAAAATTTTTTGAAAGTTGTAATCACGATTACAAGTAATTGATTACTTGTAATCGTGATTACAAGTAATTGATTACATAGCTGTAATTATCTGTAATCAATTACAGTTGTAATCGATTACTGTAATCAACGGCCAACTCTGTTTAATAACTGTTAAACCTGCAATATAAAATACCTTGCGTACTGCTCTGCAGCCCAAAAAAATGCAAAAATACAGATTTAAAGTTTGACATGTCGAAAGAGCTATTTTTATTCATGAACTTAAGAGTTTTATTTATTTATTTATTTTTTTAATTTGAATTTGTTCGAAAAATGGAGCCGTTAAAATATTTTCCCTCGAAGTTCTCCTTCCTTGCTTTGCTTTAAATAATGACTGTTCGTCTATTGTTGTTATGAATTATATTTTTCTCACTTAAAATCTTTATTTCATAAGCTCTCCCCTTAGTTAAGTTGATATTGAAAGTAAGAAGGAAAAAAATTAAGATAGAGATAAGATATTGGCAGATATAAATCTTAATTATTATACTGAAATTTTGAAAAATACTGCCCTAAGCATTTTCCTAGATTCAGAGAGATAAATACTGACTCCTATTTGAACTGCTATAATGATATGAGCCTTGTTAATGAGTAAAATTGTGTCTCATTTTCTATTGTGTAGCACATGCTGTATTCCTGAGTTAAAATTTTTCCTTTATAAATGTTGTTGATTATTTTTTAAATCCAGGTAGTTGGACACTTTGTATGATTAATATATTAACAAAAATGTTCGTCGTTTTTGTGTGAAATACTGACTTTCAAGATAAGAATAATGATGAATGTGACGCATTATGGGGGTTGCTAACCACTGGAAGTCTCGGCAGAAAAAATTGGTAATAACAGCAATTGAACAAGCTAATTTTAAAGTACGCTGGATTAGAGCTGTGCAGCTAAACTAATTTAAAAAGGAATATTTTCAGCTTCTAAAAAAAGTTAGTCCAATTCATTCAAATTCTAAATTATACAATTTGAATCTGATTTTAACATAAAATGATTTCATAGCTTTGAAAGAGCAATTACGAAATTTAGAATTTGATATTCAATTGAATTCTCCTATAGTTAAATGTGCCATAGCATGGCTAGTGCAATTGGAAGTTGTGTTAAGACCACAGAAGCAACAAAAGAAAAAAATTCTGTAACTTATTTCAATTTCAATTGTTCTTCTTCAATGCAAAACATTTTCTATCATCACTCAGACGTTTTATCTTCAGAAGAGTCTTTTGCGTGATTGGGAATTCTGATAATACATTAACATTTAAAAGCGCTGACATTGAATGTTTACAACATAACACTACGCTCAGAACTATTTTAGCAGAACGCTGTTGAAAGTGCTGTATGATAGGAAATATAATGGGTCAGAATGGTTCAAACAACAAAACTACAGTGGAACCTCGTTAAGGCGAAAACGATTAAGGCACAGGAGAACAGTTTCCAATTCACATTATCTTGAAATACAATAATATATTCATTTAACATGAACATAAAAAAGTCCCCTTGTTTAAGAACTTTATATGCATCCAAGGAAAACAAATTCCTCAACAGTGACTTTTGTGGCCTCACTGTGATCTCATTGAAATGAAGTTTATTGCTTTTTCTGAGCTGAACAAGGGAAGATAAGATATTTGTACTCAGAACTAAGTTCACATCAACTTGCAATTGGTTACGTCACTAATAAAATGAATGAAGATTAGTGGACCTTCAGCGACGTGGTGATTAATATCGACCTAGTATGTGATACTGGAGAAACAGGAAGAATTGTATTCTATCCCTGCTGGTGTTGAAATTCTTTTGTTAAGCATATCATTTGGTTGCTTAACATTGTTGCGTTTAATGCTTTTATAAAAATATTACGGTACATATATTATCATCATAGGTGTAACTGTGGTTTTGAGCATTTGTAGGATGCCACTTTTTTGCATAAAACTTCTGATTACGATAAAATGACCACAAAACATTTTTCTACTAATTTCATTTAAATTCTTTGGTATTTTAGTTTCAATAATTGGTTTTTTCAAATCCTCCTAATGCAAAAAGAAATTTACCTTCGAACTTCATCTTAATGAGGTACGGTTGTAGTTTTAAAGAAAAATTTAGGAAAAGCATTAGATTCTTTTTAGGAATTGAAACTATTATGGCTTATGTTGAAGCAGTAATTAATTCACGTCCATTAACTAATGTTCATAATAAACCTAACAAGCCATTTCCTCTCACTCCTGATAATATTTAACTTAATGAAGATTAGCAGATTTACCTAATTGGTTAGGCAATAGAAACTTTGAGTTATTAAAAAGAGTTAATCAAAAAAATTTTGGTAATTAATTTTGGGGAAAAGGCGTACAAAAATATAGATTCAAAGATGCACATTGAACAAAAATTTCAAAAACTGGCTTTAATGTAATTTACGTAATTAGATGATAATTTTCCTAGACAACTTTGGAAATAGAGAACAATTCTTGATCATCGCCAGGATCAACACATTAAGGTAAGATTTATCACAGCGAAAACATCACAAGGAGTCATAAAACATCCAGCACAGTTATTGTATAATCAATGAATTACAACAAGTGAGTAAGTAAAAAATTTTAAGTTATTTATTCAACAAAAAAAAACATATTTTAATTATGATTGATTTTCTAGTTTTGCGATGATTATAGAAACAATTTTATCAATAATAGTTACAAATTTATTTTTATCCCAAACTTGTTATTGTTAGTATTATAAAGTTTCCTTCTTAATTCCTTTTAATGATGAATTCAATGAGATCCTTCTAATAAAGTTTCCTTCTTAAAGTTTCTTTCTAAGTTCGATGAATTTCCTTCAACTAGAGTATTTCATATGCATATAAATTTCTCAAGAAAATAGTTATTATTTTTCAATTTTTTTTCTGAGAACACTAAATTAGTTTTTTCTTTTTTTTTTTACTGTTAAAATTTATTTTAAAATGAATTTTAAAATAATTATTCTAATCACACAAAAAAATCTATGTGTTCTTATAAATTAAGTCCTGTAGATTTTAATGCAAATATGTAAATTTAATACCTTTTATTTCTTTTCTTCCTATTACAAGCTACTTAGATTTTTCTGAACAAAATTGCAAGGAACTTTTTTCAACTTCTTGAAATAGAACAATTTTTTTCCATTTAGAGAATAGGTAAAAACCTAAAGGTTCACAAGTTCAGAAAACATGATAGTTTCGGGGGAATTTCCAATTTTCACTTTCTAAATTTTAAAATTTTCTGTCATACAACATAAGATCTACCATTCCCAAGGTGAAAAATGTTTTATGTTTGACTGAATTTGTACTAAAATCGCTTATATTTCAATAATGAACTAGCAACAGTACTTCCTAGAAATAACTTTTTAACAAATCCCACCTGACACTTTTAGAGTGACTCAAAAAAGAATAATTATTTGAAAGTCAATTGGAAGGAGTTAGAAATGAATGGCTTGCTGTGTTCTGCTTAAAAAAGCATGAAAGTAATTGTAATCAAAGTTCAAAATCAGTTACATAGCTCATCAAAAGTTGGCATGGCTAACTGAAATGTGATACAATGTTGTTGGATTCATCTCAGAATAATTTCGCTGAAATATTCGCATGACTATTTTAACTGCAAATAGTGGTTAATTTAAAAACACTCGTTAATAATTTTTTGCACTACATAGTGCCATCTGTTGACGAAATGTGTTACAGATTTTAAAACTTGTTGGAAATAAATTGATTTTTACCCAAGAATTTTGCAACAAACCAAACATTCCTAACCTTTTCCTTTTCTTATAAAAAAAATTTTTTTTTAATTGTTGATTAGTTTTATGATTCCAATTAACACTTTTTATTAAATGCAGGTTAGGCATTAACTTTTGGAATTGCATTAAAATATTTAAAATTATTGTTCATAACCAATACTAACCTAAGAAAGGAAGTTTAGCATTATCAGCCAGTGATTTGCCCCCTCCCTGAGAAAATATGGCAGAACATTCCTGTAAATAAGAAAATGCTTTGTGTGAATATCTTTAAATAATTAAACAAAATTGTAATTTTTAAGGGAAAAAAACCATAAGAGCAGAAATATACATAATAATATAATTAATATACATAATAATATAATTAATATACATAATAATATAATTATACATAATAATATAAAACATCATTATTATTTGTTCATTAAATTAAATAAATGGTACACTTGGTTCCTTGGATACACTTTTATAAAAAATCTTCCAACTGTTTATTGTTTCTTTACTGGAAAATATAAAGATAAACACCTTTATGAGCTGAAAAGTAACCAATTATAGCTCGAAACTGAGATCAAGATTTGATGTTCAAGTGTAAAAACCTGTGTATAAAAATACCAAGACATCATGTACATGTCTTTATTTTTTCCCTCCCAGATTGTGGTGAGATTTACATAATACTTAAAATATTAAAAATTAAATAATTGAATCATGAAAAAATAATGCATGAATCTCAAAATATTTACTGAAGAACAAAATAATTCTTTAAGATTCTGGGATTAAGATTGAATTCAAAAAAATTTATTGAAGAAGAACATATAAATTTTTAGCAACCGCTGTTTGACAAACTGATTTATTTAAATTTTTTAATATTTAAATGGTAATACATTCCAAATGAATGTAGATTTTATAAAAATGCACATTTCAAATAAATAAGACCTTACTTTTTATCAAAAAAAATTTTTCACAAAATTTCAAATTATTATTCATAAAACTACAAAAGCAAGACCCCTATAAACAATACATTATAAGTTCTACAAATAATGCAGAATGCAGCTATTAATGTCTATGAAAAGTCTAATAACTCCTGAAACTATTGTGGGAATTACATAAGGACCATGTACAAAGCCCATGAGCCATGTTCAAAACACAAGATGTACAAAGTACTCCATTCTGTACTCAGCAATAAAAACTTCAGAGACAACTTTCTAAATCCTTTTTTTAGAGCGCTCTTTAATTCTGACATTTCTACTGTCTTAGACATCCTTAAAACTAGTTCCTTAAGTAAATTTTTCAGATTTGATAACAAAAAGGTTGCAAGAAATGTATCGAAAGAGTATGGTGAATAAGTATAGTTACCAACATCGATAGGAAAAAATCCAGTAGATTTTACAAAATAATATAAATTTTATGACAACTTTTGCATAATATACTAAATATTTTACAAATAGTGAATTTTTATTGTCATCTTAATACAAAAACTTCACCACTCTAATAACAATAAATGATCAACAATATTTTTCATTAATGATAGACATCAAATGAACTTGAAATGTTTTTTCTCATGTTAACTCATAATTTTTAATAGTAATAGACCAGTAATTTATTACTGGTAGTTAAATTTTTTTTTAATTATTTTAAAAAAAGAGCTCTGAACAAAAATGAACTGAAAATTTCAGAATGAAAAAAAAAGCTTCCAACTAATTACTAAAAATGAGGCTCGCTTCATTATGCATTAGCGATACTTAGTTAAATATTTAAGCAAGCAATAAATTCTATTTCACGAGCAATTTTTTAGGAAACTTACTCGAGTTTAGGGAATTTCCTAAAATGTACAAAAACTAGGCGAATTTTTTCTAAACCAGTAAATTAGGAAAAGCTGGTAAAATCCAGCAGTCTGCAGGTAAATCCAGTAGTCTGCAGGTAAATCTAGTAGTGTTGGCAGGTTTGTGAATAAGTCATCTGTACAACTTCCAAAACCAAAAAATTTGCTAAAGAAAAAAGGTTTCGAAAAGTCAAAATCCTTAAAAATACCACAACAATAGAATTAAAGAGCCTTCCAAACGAGGACTTATTGTTTTTGAAACTTTTACAGTTGAGTACAGGAGTGTATCACATCGGATGGATGTTAGTTCAAAATATATTAAATAGAGTAAGTTTTTCAGAGACGCCATTAGTGGCTTAGAATATGACTTTGCCACACATACATCACAGCCTGTTTTACAGAGAGGACTCATTCCCACACCTTTCATTTATATGCAGATCGTAATTTTAGCCAGAACCAGAGAACGATCAATCTCTGATCCAGTACTCACAGGATTTGTTATGGAAACGTTGCAACCCAGGCAGATTTAATGCGCGCCAGTAATCATTTTATACACAGGCTCTTTAGCTGACAGGATTTGAACTCACAATCTATCCGATACAGGCCCAAGGATTTATCAGAAAGGTTATTCTGGCCAGACCATTCCTAGATATTAATAGCTGCACTTTGTAAATTTCAAAAGAATATGACCTTAATTTCGGTCTAAAATAATTATTAGAATATCACTAAAACAAAATCCTGGTAAGAAATACTAAATTACCCCAGTAAATAATATAACTCATCATTCTTAAAATATAAAAATTATATAAATATTTACCTTACAATTTGGGCAAACAAAACCACTCATATTCTCTACAATTCCAATTATAGGCAATGATGCTTTTTTACAAAATGTTATTTCTCTTAACACATCGCTGATTGCAATCATCTTTAATATAAAGAGAAAAAATTTATGAGACATACAATTAATACAGAAACTTAAGAGAATCTTTCTGCGAAAACATTTTTAAATCATTCTTGAAAAATTCCCGTCCATGTAAGTTGATCTGATTTCGTTACTCGCTTTATAGTCCATTTTTATACTGTTTTTTTATTTTATTTTGTTTTCTGTTTTCACATGTTATTTTTACTTTTTGTGTTTTTACTATTTTATTCATTGTAATTTTTATAAAAAAAATTTTTGAGTGCTGCTCACACTATTGTATTAATATATTTTGCTTTGGCTTTATTGATACAATATCAGAAAGCACTCTGTTTTGCGGATATAATCGTGTGGGCTGATGAAAAGATTATATCTTTTTTTTCCGGTTTTTTAATTAAAATTTCATCCTTTTTTTTTCTTTTTTTAAACTGTTGTTTGTTATTTTTTTACTTATTA